TGCCACGTCAGATTTTGTTCATTATTTACTAAACATGTGCATACTTGTCCTTGTATAATCCTTTATTTACTATACATAATAAAAATGTTGTGAAAAATTGTGATTACGAAAATACCCTTCCATCTTGCCCTTCTCGTATCAAAGCATTTGCACAGAGAATCATGGAAAACACACACAGACCTTGTGACCTAAAATTCGGCCCTTCCCTTCGAAGCATTCGTGGACCAAAAATTCAGGAGGTTAGGCGGCCATCGTCGGTTCATCCACCCCGGCGTAGCTTCTACAATATGGCCATAGCACCGGCGATTCGTCATTTTCAGTCAAGTCGTAAGTATTTCTCTTACATTTCATTTTCGGACCAAATGTGCATATCTATTACCTTCAAGAGTGAAGTCGTTCTGGAGTAGATCTTCCAGATCCGTCGACCAAACCGCAGAAATTGAATAGGTTCGGTGACAGATAGAGAATATAGCCAAGGAATCAAATCCGGCACCCATTGATTTTGCACCTTCTAACATCTTGGATTGAGAATTCTCGTCACGTTTAAAACACATTCGAAAAAAAAAAAACGAAGAAGAAGGAGTAATTACGAGAGCAGCTAGGGCAACACGAAAACGACGACGAGTAGATCTGTGCAATTTTCGGACGTATTTGTTACATTTATAAATCCTATTTCCGTAATTTTCATGACATTGAGGGGTAGAAAAGATTTTTTACGGCTTCTTTTATGAACAAAATTGGAACATAGCAATTGGGATAAAATTATCCGCCCAAAATGGCCGGACAGAATTAACCACGCACGTCAGTTTAATGAGGTGAGACCCACATGCCACACAATCAACACATCAGCTATATCCTAATCCCTAACCAACCTAATAAAGGAATGATAAGGTTGGTTAACCAACCTTATCCCATCCTATCACCTCTAGTAAACGAGGCCTAAGAGGATTAAAACATCAATAAAATCCCCCATTTCATGCCACCGAGCGAGCAAAATTATTAAACATGGAAACGAGCACATCATAAAGTCATGAAACTAAAATGGAAAATTTCAAAGTCTGTAGCAGCGTTTGAAATTAAGCCCAGGTACTAAAATGGGAAATAATCTCAAAAATTTGTCGCGAGTCAGCGATTCGCAACTGCATGCCTGATGCTACATCCTATTTTTTGGGCTTGTTTGGATCCGTACGAACTCGGACTGTAATTCTGTTATCTCCTACGCGGAGTCAAAGAAGCTTTATATGAAGCCTACAACGAATGACTTATTGTACTTTGTTTCTAGTGACATTAGAGTGACCAACTGAATTGTGGTTGGCCTCGTATAACTTGATCTTGCGAATGAAGAACCGACTTGTGGTTGCCCATTACGCTTTTATATGCCGTAGACTGGTTGTCCGAAACAGTTTTGAAATATATATTTACATTTAACGATAAAAAAAAAGATAAAATAAAAAACATTAAGTAGGTCTTTTTTCAATAAATTTATTTATTTTTATTAAAAGAGTGTCAAACTTTAAAAATCATCATAACATAAAGTATAACGTTTTGATAGTGCAATCGTGTACTTTTGTTCATAGAGTATGATAAGACGACATGCTTGCCTTACATAATAATTTATAAATAAAAGAAAATTGATAGATCATCGTTAAGCCAACTTAACTATTAGATCCACATACCCGTTTATAAATGTGCCCACTTCCATGAAATGACATACTCTAAAAAGCTATATAAAAATAAATAGGCGTGAACAAAATAATACCGAAGCCGAAATATCGAACCGAATTGATGCGTTTGGTGCAATGCGGTTCAATTTTTTAAAGGTTCAATTTATGGTACGGTTTAAATTTTGGAAAATTGCAAGAAAATCGGCGCGGTTCGATTTTGAGTATGAACGGTTCAGTTTTAACCGAACTGCATCGAAACTTTGATGTGTCAAATAAAGTTGCTAATATATTATCTGAAACTGTTAAGTCTTACATGATAAAAAAAAAATCGAGTGAACTTTAATTTGTATTTTTTTTAAGGCTTAATTTGTATGGTTTGAACTTTGATTTGTGTTTTTGCATTTTTTTAATTGCGGTTAACTGAAAAATCAAATCTCAAAAAACTGAAAGTTTCGGTTTAGTTCGATTCAGTTTTTTCTTTTATTGCACTGTGATTTGCTGTATAAATTTTAAATTTTGATTTTCGATTTTTTGCGTACAATCGAATTGCACCGAAGTTCATATCTAAAAATAAATATAACATTTGATAGTATAAATATATATTTTTACTCATTGAATGGTATAAGTATATTGTATATATTTTAAATAATAGAGTATGACCTGTGGATCGGTCTAACATTAGAGTGTTT